AGCATCAATACCATAAGGAAATACGAAGAGAAGTTCTTCGAGAATTGCAAACTGTTCAAGTAAAAATTAGCTAAATATATTTTGTCGCTCGCTTGGTTAACCTTTACCGACTCTTTAGGGATGGAGTACTAAAGCCATCTCAGATGACCACGCAGAACATGTCGCTAGCGGTCAGTGAGTGCTTCTGGAAGATGGTCAAAGAGTCAATCGAGCAACAAGCAGACGTGTTCAAGGCTGCACGGTTTAACCTTGAAACCGAATGGAAAAACACCTATCCATCCCTCCGTGAATTGGACAGGGTAAATCATTTCTTTTTTGCTTTCAAATCTTTTACACCGAATGTCGGTTTCTTACAGGGCGAACTGTTCGACAGAGCGAGAAGTGAAATTTTGGACGAAATAACAAATCTCAGCCAAATTACATTTAAGCAATGGTAGGGTTTAGATTACTGTTATTTTTTCTGTATTGTTAATCATTCTTAGGGAAGAGGCTATTCAAAAGAAGCTGTGGGACAAAATGGTTCACTACGTTTTTGAGAACATTTTCCTTCCTGCGTCAGTGGCTGAAAATCACGGGTATGAAGTTGTAATTAATAAGTTCACAGTGTTTGATTGCGTTGAAGTATGTTAATGACTGCTTCATTGTTTATCATCTCATTTAATTATTTCATTATTATGCTTCTTTATCGATCGCTGGTTTTTTAAATTTAAATTTGTCACGGAACTGGAGGAAAACCGGCATCCGGATACCGTCATCCATGAACAATTCAACAGAGTGAACTGAAACTTTAACAGGATTCATGGTCCAATAGGGCAGACTACCATCATGAAAAATTTCCAAAGTTATCCCCTGCCATACCAAAAAATTACCTTAAAGGATCAGAACGTTTCATGACCAAGTACGGTTTAAACTACGTCGCACACTAGGCGGATCTCCCAACAGGCCTTGCATCCTCCTAGCAAAAAAGGAATCGTAGAGATATGGGTAATATATCAGAAAGCTACATTATAAACTCCGCTAAGAAACTGAAGAATCGCATCTGTGAACACTGGGTTTGTCTCATCAGATTGGACGAGAAGAGCTCTGCATTTGCGGAACACAGCGTACTATCGAATCACGTCATATGGTGGGATACGAGTTGCGTCATTCGCAAGGAGGCCTACTGGGGGAAAAAGAAATCGGTTGGATGCAGTCAAGTAAAGGATAGAAAGCTAGATAAACTGGCAAAAAGAAATTTACAGGATCAGCCATTCATGGCTTTCCCTGTTACATGATTTAACTTGTGAGAAATGTGAGTTGTTTAATCTTGCGTCTCTCCTTTCATAACCGCGCTGCTCTTTCAGTCTTTTAGCCTATTGCATGGTCCTCATATTTATTGCGGTACTGCTCCACATAAATTTTATGGCCGAAATTGCCGATATTCCGAACCACGCTTGGCTCGTTGTAAAGGTTCCTTGACAGGTGGTTCTCAAAAATTTCTGTTGTGATCTCGATATGCTGTGTAATCCCATTAAAAGCATGAAGTTCGTGGAACCAATCTCTTGTGTAAGCGAACAATGTTCAGTTTTAAAATCTGCCAACCCAACAGTAAAAATATTCGAATTGTATATAGAAAAGCTCTGACCCTGGCATCAAAATAGGGCTCGTCATCCAAAAAAAGTTAGAGGACAATAACGCTAAGTTTGACCCTAACCACGCATGGCTCGCCACTCTGAAATGCAAGGTCTTTATTAATCTCTCTTCAAATTCGACGGTAGTTGCCCACTCCCTTAAGGCGAACTACGTTATCTAAATATATGAATGAAAAATCCCTTTAATAGTCTGTTTAAAAGTCTGATTTGTCTTTAGTCAAAAGCCATTCCCTAAATCCATTTTAAAACTTTTTTTGAAGAACAGGTACTACTTTAAAATATTTAGCTGTCTTGGTTTATTGGTAGTTATTATAAATATATTATTGTGATAATACAATCAATCCAGAAACAACCTAAGTTTACTGCTCTTATTTGCAACTTGTTATGTTCCGATACCGTCGGTTGTAATAACAACTATATGTCACTTGTCTGGATTCCTTCCGGTCACCTTCCCTTACTTTTAGAGACCTGGGAGACAGTTTATACGGATCGTCGTTTCATTCACCTAAGCATCATTTCCAGGTGCTACATCCTTATGGTATTATACCAATGAATAGTTATGGCTACTAAAATCTGTTCCACTTGTCAGTTTAGTTGCTCCCTTTATTTTAAAATGTTTAACTTTCGAGTTGCAACTAGAATCTTCGGAATTGAGTCTGAGTTTGTGTAGCGAATTTGATGCAGTTTATTTGCCTGCATGAAAAATAATTGCTTATGTACTCAAGTCAGCAGGGCTTTACTGTTTGAGAAAATTTTGCGCTTATTTTTTACTATATTTGTTCTTTGTTTATTTTGTTTGAGTCCGTTTATTTGCAAGCGTATAAGTGCGGTAAAGGTTTCGTTTGTTCTTTCAGCACATTTAACACAATCGTAGACATCCGTCTAAAACACTGGGTGGATCATCAGTTACCCAGGAAAAGCATTGACGCCGGCTGGGAGACACTCAAAGAGCAATTCCTTCGATTAATGCAGCAGGACGTGCAATCAAAAGACCACGATC